CCTGGCTCGGTGTCTGCATTAAATGGCATAGCAAGACAGTCATAATATGAGCCTGGTATCCCAGACTGAGGGGGCAATGCATAAAAAGCCAAGGTCAGACAATGCAAGGCAGGGATACTGCGAGAATCCAGGCAGGGTCAGAGTGAGTGAGTGAGTTGACACTGAACACAAAATCTAGAGATACTGCCCCTGAGCTGGATATGTGTCCCTGAGCACACAATATCCTTGCTGCAGTTTTATGATGACAGGAAACAGGGCAGCTTGAGCGGTAGCATTGAAGTGTCTTGTTCATGGATCGAAAATGTACCATGAGGGTTCTCGTAGGCTGGCACATGTTGGATGCCAATGTCTATAGATGTGGGGCCAGTGCCCAGGGAGTGTGGTCTGACACATTGATTTCCCCATGTCCAGAATGAGCGCCAGCAGCAAATTAAATCCACCAAGAACCTGCTCATTTCCAAAGAGGTTTCCTGATGGCTAATTTGTATGGTGAACTTGGTAAGATCACAACCCGTGGTGAGTTGGACTGTTAACATGACGTTTAACAAGCAATAATAAGTGTCAATTGGGAACTCACTGCTGCCCAGTGAGAATCTTGCCATACTGCTTGTGTAAAGTCCATGAGATGCTGAGAGAAAATCTTGACACTGAGACAGGCATCACCAAGCTTCTGGCCTGATTCTCACACTCGCCTCTCCACAGCCCACACCACTCATACCCTGGTAAGATTACACCCATTATTTCTATTACCTTTCCTGCCTCCACCCACCTCAATTAAATCCTCATGACTGCCTTATTTATTCTTTGCTCTTGAGCCAGTTCAGGTGAAGGAGCCTTGTTACTGTCCAAAGTGAAGGCTTTACTTAGGTCCAGTTCCTATACCAGACATAACCAGCATTTAGAGTGATCCAAGTGTTCAATAAACTGACCTTGTGACTCCCTCTTTTCCTATAGAAGCTTAGCATTGCTCCTCTAATTCAATATCCCTCAGTTTCAATCAGATCTGCCATGATCCAGAAAAATACTCCAGGTTCCACATTCTCACTTGGGCAAGGTCATAACTCCTGATTTCATTATTGAATGTATTAGTTAATTAATATATTTCCTAGTTTTGGATAAATAGAAACATTACTACATCAAGAGAGATAGGAAGAACTGCAGATGCTGGAGTCAGAGATGACACAGTGTGGAGCTGGAAGAACACAGCAGGCCAGGCAGCATCAGAGAAGCAGGAAAGTTGACATTTCGGGTCGGGACCCTTCTTCAGAAAGGGTCCCGACCCGAAACGTCAACTTTCCTGCTCCTCTGACATTACTACATCAACATTTCTTACCTTTAAAGATCTTTATTTACTTCCTCCACAAGAGTGTTGGACGAGGAGAGTGAACCTTACCCATACTAAATCCTTAATTCTGGTTACAGAGGCTTCCTTCTGCTTTCAGCTATCGTAATCTCACACAGGGTTTCCACAAAGTCGGATCATCCTTCATAAGGGCTATCAGGAATTGCTGGATGCCTGTCCCTTGCTGCTAACCACCCTCACTCTAATTATCTGGGCTGGGAACAAATCCCAACAACACATCAACATGCCTGTCCCAGTGGCTGGGCTACCACACATTATTAATACATAAACAAATAAATACATTTCTTATCAAGTAATAGAAAGCCTCTCAGAGGAGTTACAAGACTGGAGAAAATGCAAAATTCTCCCACACAACATTCCAGAGTGTTGTAATGTCACTGGACTAATAATCTAGAGACCCCGGTGAATTTATGCTCTGGCAACTTGAAATCAAATGTCATGATGGCAGCTAGTAGAATTCAAATTCTATTGTTAAAATCAGCACGTGAAATCTAATTTTTTTTTTTGTTCATTCATGGGATAAGGGCATCGCTGACTAGGCAGCATTTATTGCCCAGGAAGGCAGCAGGCGTGCAAATTACCCACTCCTGATGTGGGGAGGGAGTGACAAAAAAAAATCTAATCTCTGTGATCATGACTATGGAGCTATCCCAATTGTTGTAAAAACCCATCTGGTTCACTAATGTCCATTAGGGAAAGAAATCCTTACGGGACCTGGCCTACATATGACCCCAGACCAACATCACTGTGTCTTCTGGTAAGATGGCAGTGGAGTAGCATTTCTGAGCCCGGGGCTCACCCACTCTGTCTGCTTTCCTTTCTGTTTCCTTTTTTTTCTCCCTCTTTTCTTTCTCTCTTTTATTGTTCTCACCTCTTGTTGCTTGCAGCAATAGCATTGGTGGCAGCAAGTGGGCCCAGCAGCGCAGACTGGTGACATTGGCATTGGAGGTGGGTTTGGGTTCCCCAGCAGCTTCTGCATCCAGCACAGGTTCATGGAGGTGGTGACGGAGGCGAGCTTAGGCCCAGTACAAGACCTGTTGGCATCAGCAGCCACTGCATTGGCGAGGTGGGCCTGAGGCAAACTCACTGCAGCAATGCAGTCAAATTTGGGCCGGCGTGGTACCCAGTGGCATCAGTGGTGTCTGCATTGGCAGGGTCCAGTGAGGACTCATAGAGGTGAGGGTGTTGGTGGGTGCAAGATGGTGCCACAAACTGGAGACTTTTGTTCCAGTAGCAGCGACATGGCGAAGGCAACTCATGCCTGACTACCAGGCCCATGGCGGAGCACTTCACAAGGACTGTAAAGTTGTACACTTTTTCTTTATTTCTTTAGCTTTTTTGCCTTTATATTCTATGTTTTGGTTTATTTTTCTGTGTATTAAAATTGCATTGGAGAGTGGCGACACTATATTACACTTTTCACAGTGTTTGTAACAAAGCACACGCAAAACTAAATAAATCAAGTCAAATCCTAACTGCCCTCTGAAATGAAGAGGCAAACCATTCAGTTGAAAGGCAATGAGGGATGGGTAAAATGCCCACATTCCATGAAAAAGAATACAGAAAATTATCACCCCAGTTCCAGATCCTGGAAGTGAATTTTCCAAGTGCATTGGCAGCTCACTCCCATCGCTCAGAATGGATCCTTTTCATAAGTAGATATGTAATCACTAATTCAGGTGTACTCTCTCTATCTGTCTTTGTAAGGTGGTGCTGCAGGCTGCAGAGGTAGTCAGGCCTGCTTGGGATGTGAGTTTCAGCAGAACCTGAGGCAGATACATCCACAGAGCCACAGTAGCTGAGGGGATAGACACTGAACAACAGGGTGATCAATCTGTTAACTCTCATGTTACACAGGAGTTGACAGGCTTTTTTGCTCTCCAGCCAGACAGAAGGTGTCACAGGTGACCAGCAGTTAAACAGATAGAGAGACAGCCCCAACAGAGTTGGGGAAATAACACAAGGAAGGGTTTGTAATAAAGTGGATGGCAGCCTTGATGACATGTCCAAAGTAATGAGGGTCCAAGAATAAAGGATGTGATTTGGATACACAGATCCGAAGCTGGGTCCAGAGGACGTGTAGATAATTGCAGTAACGTCTTGCCATTTGCCAAGATTACATTCCTCAGAGACTTCATGAACAGTGCTTTTGACAAAGACTGCATTTATTGCCAAATTCTTCACTAGGTGGAGCATTGCAGTCTACAAATACCAGAAAAACGACAATTGCATTATATCAATTGCAAAACCAAAAGTGTCTGAAATTCATTTCAGGCAGTGAGCAAGGAACCAGACCAAAACAATTTTTGACAGTAACTTTTCCACTTGTTGTAAGATCAGGGAAGCACAGCAACAATTATAAACAATCTGTCCATTTCTTGGCAATCTGCGCTTTAGATTAGATTACCTTTGGGTTACAGGTTTAACATCACACTGCACCTATATGGAGACCAGGCATTGACCAGTCACCAGGCATGCTGACTTGCAAAGAAAATTACAGACTGATTATAACTGTTGCTGTATTTTCCTAGATCTTGCAACTAGTCTAAAATTGAATGCTGTGCTGGCATGACATCATGGGTGCGACTGTGAACAAACGCACAGATGGTGCTGCAGAGTAGACACTTTTGTTCCAGTAGCAGTGACACAGCAAAAGCAACTCATGCCTGACTACCAGGCCCATGGCGGAGCACTTAACAAGAAGGCAACGATTTTTACATCAGGAATAGGCATTGCATTTCACTAATGATGAACCTGACATTCCATCTATGCACAGAGCAAAATGTATGAGCACTGCAAGATGGATATACTGCATAAGATGGCTGGGCAGTGTGACATTATGCACAGTACAAGGTGCATGTGCAATGCAAAATGCACTTGCAGTTACACGTGTTGTGTCTTACATGTTTAGTGTGAGTTACATGTGCAGTGTGAGCTACAGAGCTACATGGGTGGCTCAGTGACTAGCACTGCTGCCTCACAGTGTCACGGACTGAGGTTCAATTCCAGTCTTTGTTGACTGTCTGTGTGGAGTTTGCACATTCTCCTTGTGATTTTACAGTCCGAAGATGTGCAGGTTAGGTGGATTGGCCATGCTGTAGTGCCCAGGGATGTGCAGGCTAGGTGGGTCAGCCAGGGTTACAGGGATAGGATAGTGGGGTGGGTTTAGAGGGATGCTCCTTGGAGGGTCGGTTGGGACTTGATGGACAGAATGGCCTGCTTCCGCACTGTAGGGATTTTCTATGAGTTACAGGTGCAGTGCAATATGAGATATTTGTGCATGGTGTATTTTCTGCCTGCAGGAAATAAGTTTTCTTTTCATTTATTTTCTTTAAAAACCTGGAGAAGCCCAGATTGGGTGCACAGTGGCCAGAATAGTACACACAGTCCGTTTTGGGAGTGGACCGGATTTTACCGTAACCCAGGGAGGGAGTTGAAACCCAAACACTAACTTCCCAATCAGAGATGTTCAGAGCGCAGAACGGGGCTGTTTGGCCCATCCTAACTGTGCTGGCCCTCTGCAAGTAAAGCAATTGAGTTAATGGCCCTTGTGCCAGGGTGTGTACACAGCCAGGGGTGGGTGCAGGGGGGAATATTGTGTCTATTGTCAACAACAAGCTCACTTGCCAAACTCTGATCCAGACAATTGGAGAGACCATTCGGGAGTCCTGGAGAGCTTGAATTCCGCACCAATGAGGGCAGTCCCTATAATCGGACTCGGCTGGAATCTGGTTTAAATATAGCCCAGGATATAAAAGCAACGCCGTGCCACACTTTTGGCCCAGCATTAGCCCGGCTTTGCCTCTGTCCCCTTTGCTGCCCTGATGTCCGACCGCCGCATCCCCTTCAGTTTCATGCGGAGCCCCAGCTGGGATCCGTTCCGGGACTGGCACTACCCCGGCCGGATCTTTGACCAGTGCTTCGGGATGCCGGCTTTGCCCCACGACTGGTCGGTCGCCGACTGGCCCGGCATGTGGCCGGGTTATATCCGACCGTCCCTGGTGGCACCGAGCGGGGCAGCGGCTCCTACCAGCGGCCAGGACAGTAGCCTGAGCCGGCAGCAAAGTACTGGAGTGTCCGAGATCAAGGTGACCTCAGATAAGTGGAAAGTCAGCCTTGATGTCAATCACTTCGCCCCGGAAGAAATCGCAGTCAAGACCAAGGATGGATACGTGGAGATCACCGGTAAGCCCCCTCCAAATCTCTTCATTTGTAGTCTTGGTATTTCCCACTTTTCCCAAATACTTTTCAGAGCCTGTCAATGGGTTAGTGCCTGTAATCAATTCCCAAGAGTTTTGAGTCCCTGAATCCCACCCCCTCTCACTTTCCTGTTAGACTGGAGGAAGTGTAAAGCCCAGTTTTTATTTTTCTTAAATTATATATTGTTAAGCCTGTCTGCCGTCTGGAATATCAGAGAGCCCAGGATTGCAAAACGAGGATGTTCCAGGCCAACGCCAACAGCAAACATGATCGACCAGAGTCCAGGAGAAATTACCTCACTCAGCCCCTTGTGAATGTTTGGAACCCAGTACTCGGAGCGTTCAGTAGATTCAAGGCTTCTCTCAAGGAACCGAGGGATATTGAGTGTGGGTGGGAAAGTGGATTTGAAGCCAGGATTGTATTTAACGGCAAAACAGGCACGATGGGCCGAATGGTCTACTCTGCTCATTTTCTTGTGTTCTTCCATGTCCAATTCTGTTCACCACTCTTTAGGACGAATGTAAAGTTTTACAGGAGTGGGGTTGGGGGAGGAAGATTTGTGAGAATGAATTGAGGGATGGAGGAGTCGTTTGACCACCGAGGGAGGTTCATTCACGATGCCAAGCAAGCTGGTGTCAACCTGTTATATCCTTCTAATACGCCTTTAGCAGGCAGCGAGAGAGTGAGGATTTCCTTGTCTGCTGTGTCTGATTCAGAAGGGCATCTCTCAAAATTGCCTCTGGAGTGAGGCTGGTGACATCTTCCAGGAGAAACAAGTCATATAAATGGACTTTTGGGATGCGGGTTTCGCTAGTTGGACCAGTATTTATTGCTCGTCCCTAGTTCTCCTTCAGAATGGGAAAATCTGTGGGCCAGTTCGCCTGACTTTTGAAAATGCTGGAATCTGTTATTAAGGGAGTCTAAACAATGTACGTGGAAAATCATAGTTCATAGACAAAGTAAACATAGTTTTATAAAAGGGACGGCGTGTTTGACAACTAATTAGATATTTTGCCCATCTAACCAGTAGTGGGGAACCAGTAGATGTAGTGTACTGGGATGTCAGCTTCAATAAGGTACCACGCACAAGGTGCTATTACGTATGTGAAGGGCTTATGGAGTTAGAAGCAATAGGTATTCTAATGGTCAGATAGTCCTTGCTGAAGTCAAAATGGAAGTTGGGTATCAAGGCCATGCAGAATTCTCAAGGCAGCTGGCTCCAAGGGAATTGCACTGGAACTTGGTATTATTATTGGCAAATTCCCTGCATCAAGATAATTCTGAAAAAGTCCCTTAAAGTCGAGAATTCAGAGGGTTCAAACTCCGTAGGCTCGCAGGTTATCCAGGAAAGGTTAGAGGATTAATACTTGTTCTAATACCTGGGTAAATATTAATCTGAACTCCCTGACTATACCCACCCCAACCAAACATTCCCTCTTCACTTCCTGACCCAACATTCACCCCCATCACCAACTCCATCCCATCTGATCCAACACAGCTCCCTAACACAACCCCGACACCCACGTATGACCCAACGTCACAACACTCCTTCCAATCTGACCAGATACCATCCATACCCACTGCCACAACATTTCCAGAGACACCAGAACCGAAATTCCTCTTCTCAACACAACTCCTCCTCCACCTGATCAAACACTCAACCTAATCTGATAACACCCCCAATGTTTCGACTTAATACCTTCCTACCCCTCAACTGATACCTCCCAATCTGACCCAACATAACATCCCAATCTGTTTCCCAGCCCCAGCTCCAACCTGAACTGAAATCTCCATCTCTCCTAAGTACTGATCCTCCTGTGAGGCACTCCGGGACCCGATCTATCTGGCTCCTTTTTCAGTTCACACATCTGGCATTTTACCCACTTCATCCTCCCCTGGAACCCTATCTACCTGACCCTAACCAATCTGTGACTTTTCCCCATTACCCACCTGGCACATACCCCCCACTCACTGGGACTTTTCCCTCCCACCTTATCCACTTGCCAAGATGCCCCTTCAAGTATGTACTTACCTTTCACAGTAGATTTCAAAGTGCCTGCTGACCATTTAAAATGAAGACCAAGGCATTAAGTGCTGCAGAAAGTGGTGTAGTTTCAACAAAAACCCTTTGCACTTCTGGATTTGAGGTTTGCTTAGACTGGCTCATACCAAAAGGCCCCAGAACAGGAATCTCCAGTGCTGAAGTGGGCATTTTTTAAATTTGATTGGGGTTGGAAGTAGGGTTTCTGTCTCTGACTGGAGTTGTGGTCAACTGTTTCAGCCTAACAGGAAACAGAGAGATGGATAAGACATTTTCAAGATGGCAAGCTGGGACTAGTGGAGTATTGTTCATTGCTGGAGCCTTAGCAATTTACAATCTATATTAGTGACTAGATGAAGAGGCTGAGATTAATGTATCTAAATTTGCTGACAATACAAAACTGGGTAGAAATGTAAACTGGAAGGCAGCAGTGAGACTGCATTGAGATACAGACAGATGAAGTGAATGGGCAACAAGATGGGATATAATGTGGGCAAGTGTCAGGTTATTTAGAAACCAAAACAGAAATTGCTGGAGAGACACAGCAGGTCTGTGCAGAATCTGTGGAGAGAAATCAGAGGTAACGTTTTGGGTCGGGTGATCCTTCCTTAGAACAGATGCTGCCAGACCTGCTGAGTTTTCCAGCGATTTCTGTTTTTGTTTCTGATTTCCAGCATCCACAGTTCTTCTGTCCTTTTTTGTCAGGTTATTGACTTTAGTCATAAAAATGGAGAAGCAGAATATTTCTTTAAAATTGCAAATGTTGATATTCACAGGGACTGGGGTGCACAGATATAAGGAAAACAGAAAGTAAGCATGCGGTCTTTATTGTGAAGGGTTTGCACTACAGGAACAAAGAAACCTTGCTGCAATTGTACAGAGCCTGGGTGAGACCGTACCATGTGCAATTTTGTTTGTTAAATCTAAGAATGGTTATTACTTGCAGTTGAGGCAAACCACAGTTCAGTAGATTGGTCCCTATGTTGATAGATGTCTTCAAAATCATGAGGGGTCTGGACAGAGCGAGTAAGGAAAAGCCGGCACCCGTTCGATAAATGAATGGAAGACCAGAGGGGACAGTTTTGAAGTGTTTTGCTAAGGAAGCACAGAGTGTAGTTAGGGCCTGGAATGGACCGCCTGGAAGTGTGATGGAGTCAGATTCAATTGAGGCATTTAAAAGGATGAGGATTTGAATTTGCTGGGCAATGTGGAAGAGGCAGGAGATTGACACAGCACTAAAATGCTTAGAGACCCAATGCAGATATGAAGCCTAATCCACACTGTAATATCTCTGTGTGACTCAGAGAGACCATTCTCCTGTGATGAGAGTCTGAGTAAATTGTCTGTCTATTCTATGAAGTTTAAAAGAACGGGAAGTGCTAATGTCAAAATGTACCTCATTTGAAAAGTCAGGATCGATACTCAGAGGTTGTTTTCCCAGGCTGGGGAGACTAAAACACAGGGCTGCACTCACAGGCCAATAGTTAACCCTGAGCTGTTGAGAAATTCCTTCCCTCAGAGGATTGTGAAGGTATGGAATTCCCTAACCCGGAGGCTTGTAGATGTTCCATCAGTTAATATATTTAAAGCTCTCATTGTATCTCTGGGGAACAGGTGAGGAACTGGAGTTGAAGCCAAAGATCAGCTATAATTATACTAAATGGCAGAGCAGGCTCAACAAGCCTCCGTTCTTGCTGCTATTTCGGATGTTCTTTTGATCTGGAATGCACTGCCGGAGAGTGAGGTGGAGGGACAGCCAGTTCGAACTTCCCAAAGGGTAAAGGATAACGGTCCTGCAGGAAAAGCATCGGTTGTAGTGGTAGAGTGGGGAGTGGAACTAGCTGGGTTGCTCATGCAGAGAATAGACAAGAACACAGTAGGTCAATTGAGCCTCCAGTTAGGATCAAGGATCCCATGGGCAGAGGTCCTGCAGGGGAGTGACTACAGGTGGTATTCCACCCACCCATAGCCTCAGAGTAAGGGAGGACCAGGATCAAGGTGCGTGATGGCGGAGTAGTGGATGGGGAGAGATGTGGAGATGGTGCAGTGTGGGTGTTGCAGGCAGGGATTTGACAACAAGGGCAAGGGGTGTGTCTTTCAACATGCCCCTTCCCTTCCCAACGCTGGGTACTTCGATCAGCAGCTTCAGGTGAGGGAAACCCCCCTGCTGCCTAGGAGTCTGCAAACAAACACAGCCGGGTGAGCTTCAGACACAATACCCTGATGCTCATTTAAATATCCCCCACCAGCAAACAAGTACAGAGGTACAACAGCCCTGCTGCCACTGTTGTCTCTCCAATGAGACATTGGATTGATCTCCATCCCAGCACCGACCCTCAGATGGACATTAAAAGATCCCATGACTCTACTTCAAAGAATAGCAGAGGGACCTGGCCAATATTTATCCTTCAAACAGCATGAATCAAAGAGCTCACAAAGCTACTACCATATTGCTGTTTGAAGGAACTCCCTGTGTGCAAGTTGAATGCTGTGTTCCCTACAACAGTCACAACACTTCCAAAATAATTTGCTGACTGTAAAGTAATTTGAGACAATGTGAAAGTTGGTATGCAAACAAATAGTTTTCTTTTTTAGAAGCTTGTTTAAAGGGGGCAAATTTTAATGGGTGGGGGGATCTTAATAGTTTTATTAGAGCTGTGGAGTGTGTACACTGTCAGACATTTGAATCAGTTTAAAGCGAATGCAGCATTCATTTTGGTATTTATGTGAAAAAGTATCTATATGTTATTAGCCTTTTTAGAGACAGTGAGATCGAGTTAATGGGGAATGGAATATCTGTACCCTGGTCACAGTCGGGAAGGAAATTTCCCCAGCCTAAACTGTACAGGGAATAGCTCATCCTAACAGGTACAAGAGCAGACTATACCTCAATTACAAATGTAGACGCTGTAACAAAAGCCTTCCTATTTGTTATAGCTGGGCACCAGCAAGCTGATGTTGGGAATGTGCATTCCTGGTGTGGAACTTCAGTAGCTGGGCTCACATTTTGGTCAACTGTGCAAACGAAAAGAACTGAAAATTAGTTGTATTAGGTGCCCGCACTGCTCATATCCTGATGGGACAAGCACCACACCTAAGACACGTCTGCAACAAGTCCCTGAATACAAAGCCAACCAAACCATTGCAAAGGAATCTGACGTCTAAAAAATAAATGAGGACACACATTTCTAAGAAGTTGAAATACTTTATTGTCATTTCAAAACCTGATGGATAATTTTTAAATTGGAAGGTTGCATTGTCCTGTGAGAGGAGCATGATTTTCGGTGGATTGCTAAAGGACAAGTTGTTCAGTTATGTAACTAATTGACATACAAATACCCAACAGAAAAGATCTATTTAACTGTGAATTGTGGTGGTTTATCCTACCTGGTGAAAAAATGGTCATGATTTATAATGACCCTTAACAGCCTTTATAGAAGTCTTCAATTATTTTCTCCTGCAGGAAAGCACGAGGAGCGACAGGATGAGCATGGTTTCGTTTCAAGGTGCTTTACTCGGAAGTACCTGTGAGTAAATTCTTTTTGACTTTGTTTCGCAGTTTAACAAAAAGCTCTTGTTGTTTAATTTTGAGTTTGCATTTTAGAATCAAGGTTCCGAAAAGCACAGAAGAACATCCAGCCATTATGTCTATGCAGAGCTTTCCAATTGGCTCCTCTCTCTCTCCATATAGCCCAGCAACCATGTCCTTATTAAGTAGCTATCCAATTCCCTGGAATTTATCCCAGGTCTGACTTCATGGGCTGCTGATTGGAGATTTGAGCAGAGAGATTAGTGCGACTGATCCCAGCTCTCCCTGATGTTGCTGTCATTCATGTTGTTATTTGGAAATGGGAGAAAACCTAGGTTTGGCCATTTTTGTTGAGTAATATTCCCTACTAGGAATATATTCTCTGTGCTTTTATCCAGAAGCCATAATCTCCAAAGCTGCATCCACACTATGCTGCGTGCCACGTTTAAGACTTAAGACCAGGTCCTAAACTCGGGATCAGAAGGGCTCACAGAATAGGAGTACAAACCTAACGAAAGAATCAAGAGGGACAAGTGGAGGAATATCAGAAATCCAACTGGGATTTCACCTTGATGGACCCTGCTGGAAATCAGACAGTCTAGTTGCTGCTCTGTGATCAGGTGAACAGTTTATATCCAGTGGGATTTACTGTGATGTGCAGTTAACATGCTGTCCAAATCTTGAACCGTCGCCAAGTTAAATTGCGCTAAGTTGGTGTCATCGTTAGCAACTTTTACGTAAAAAAATTTTGGAATCGCAGCAAACCTAAAACATAAACAAGCGGCTGGATTGCAGATAAAAATGTCTTTTTAAACAGCGTGCTTCAATAAAAGGTAACATTCTAAAAATCTATAGGTTTGTAATAATGTTAAAATTACTAATAGCCACAGCATACTTGCTTTAAAAATATCAACTTAACAATTGATTTCAATTCCATTCTGAAGAAGGGTCGCTGGACTTGAAATGCGAACTCTGCCAGACCTACTGAGTTTATCCAGCAATTTCTGTTTTTATTTGTTGGGATTGATTTCAATTCATACAGGAGGCTTCAGGTCAAATGGTGTTCCAGCTAACATTGACTTCCAAGTGGGAAGTTCTTCCTTAGAGGTTTGCATTTCTCTTCAATTTCAGTACAGTCATAAAATCAGGTGTATATGTGAACTGTGCTTATGTTGAACTATGAGGATGTAAACCCATAAACTTACCCAGCGCAAGGACCATGCCGAGTAGTAGGTGGTTGGAGAACACCATTCTGGAGCCATTGGCTTCTCAAGGTCCTCTTATTGGTACTGAGGTCGAATGGCTTAGACTGGAATTCTCTCTATAGGCTGCTCACAAATCAGTCAGTCAAAAAGAAACACATGATACCATTGCATTTTATCGGCATGTGGCTCAGTAGTTAGCACTGCTGCCTCACAGTGCCAGGGACCCGGGTTTGTATTCCACCCTCAGACAACTGTTTGTGTGAAGTTTGCACGTTTGCCTCGTGTTTGTGTGGGTTTCCTCCGGGTGCTCCGGTTTCCACCCACAGTCCAAAGATGTGCAGGTTAGGTGGATTGGCCATGCTAAATTGCCCATAGTGTCCAGGGAGGTACAGGCTGGGTGGGTTAGCCATGGGAAATGCAGGATTACAGGGGTACGGTGGGGGGTTGGGTCTGGGGTGGGATGCTGTTCGGACCCAGTGGGCTGAATGGCCTGCTTCCACACTGTAGGGATTCTTTCATTCTATTAGAAGAACATTAGGACTCAGTCCCGTTGTATCTGATGGATTATTTATGTATTCTGGTTCACTAATATCCTTTAGGGAGGGAAATCTGGCGTCCTTACCTGTTCTGACCTACATGTGACTCCAGACTGATAGCAAAGTAGTTATCTATCAACTTCCCTCTGAAATTGGCCTGGCAAGCCACTCCTGTTAAAGGAATGGGCAACAAATGGTTGCTCTGCCAGTGATGCCCCCCAAAAAAAATGTATCCCGTTTCCGACTGTTTAATGAGTTCCTTTCAAAACTGTTTGATCCCCTCATTTCAGTCACCAAGTCTATCCTGGGGATGTCCACAACCAATAGGACATTACACCTATCCAAACAGTGCTGTCATTTACCTTTGAGGAAGTGGCGGTGAGCTGTCTTCTTGAACTGCCGCACTCCACATGGACTAGGTAACTGGGTGTTCCAGGATTTTAACCCAGCGACACTAAAAGAGCAGCAACATTCCATGTCATCCATAGCTTCTTTGTCAAAGGCTCAGTTATCACTCAGTTCTTGGCTTCAAACAGAGTTTCTCTTGATGATTGAAGTTTGGGTATTGCAGATGTTGTCTTGCTTGTGCGATCTCATCTCCTTTTCCCTTCCTCACAGTCTGCCACCAGATACGGACCCAGCTATAGTTACTTCGACATTGTCACCCAGTGGCATACTGACAGTGGAAACGCCAGTGAAGAAACCAGCCGTGCAGTCCTCTGAGATCACCATCCCAGTGACCTATGAGTCCAAAGCCCAAATAGGAGTGCAGGATTCAAAGAAAGCAACTGAAGCAACAAAGAAGTGATTCAAACTCCGAAAAAGAAAGTTGTACCCAGCAGATCACAGGATGGCCAGATTAATACCGCAACAGCTTGGCTAGTTTTAAAAGAATTTACCCTTCAATCATTAATTAGTTATTAACTAATTTCCAGAATGCATCTGTGCCTTTGGGCTGTTAAATATTTTATTCAATACATTTTCAGACCTCGAGACTTCCCAGATTTTCATAAAAAATGCTTGTTTAATCAACATGGAACTTTGTTAAAGAAAAACAAATGATTGGAACAAATAAATCCTTTTCATCCCATAACACAATATCCAGTGTGGTTAATGTTTTGTCACTATCGGAGTGGGAGACACCTAGAAGTGAAAGGCTGATGCAATAATTCAGACGCTGAACGACCATCCACTGATTCCATTTCAGTTTTGGAGTCACTTCTTTTGCTTCCTGAGTCGTGCTGAATTCTGTTCTCACACTGAATCCCGAATTGCTCCACTGCAATGTAAGGCCAGCATCCCCAATACTCCCATTTCCCATCAGGATTTCATCAACATGGATATTCCTTTCATCAATATTCCCATCTCCAACAAGATCATCACCCACAATCCCAACATCACCAACACTCCCTCATCAACATTACCATTATTCCTGTCATCACCAACGTTCCAACTAACAACATTCTCAACATTAACAGTCCCTCATCAACATTCCCATCTCCAACACCACCAACATTCCTATTTCCAACATTCCCAATGTCACAAATATTCCCATCAATAATATTCTCATCATCAGCAATCCTAGAATTGGCACTGTTCTTTGCATGGACATTCCAATAATCAATAACATTATCATCATCTTCCTTTCCATAACCATCACTTGCAATATTGTCAAACCAAACTTCACTTTTCATCTGAACTACTTATATCATTACCAACACCTCCTCCATCATCTAGGTAATATCTGCCCCATAACTTTAAAATCCACCTTCAGTTCCATTGTGACTATAATTCCCACTCCCATCATTCCCACCTCATCAATCAATCATAATTTTGCTGTCGCTTGCATGGCCAATGCAATTCCACCCTCATTCCCAACCCTACATCCATTCCCATTCCCATTATCCCTACTGAACCTATTCATATTCCTATTTCCACTATTACTCCCAATCCTACCTCCATTCCCATTCCCAACATTACTCCCAATCCTACCTCCATTCCCATTCCTACTATCACTCCTAATCCTACCTCCTTTCCATTCCCATCATCACTCCCAATCCTACCTCAATTCCTGTTTCTACCACCACTCCCACTCTCAACCCCACATTCACTCACATTCCTCACATCACTCCCACCATTATTCTCACTCTTACCATTGTTCCACCATCACTTCCTCCTACATTTACCAGGAACCATCCCAAGCAGTTCAGTCCTATCTAGAAGTTGATGAGGAGTGAGATGGATTTGAAAGACACACTGATAAAACCAAAGGTGGAAAACCTGCCACTGGTCCCTCAGACCCCACCTTAGCCAGACATAAAATCCTGCACATAATTCACCTGCTTGGTAACCATAGCAACATCGAGGGAAAGAAAATGGCCAAAGTCTGAGAATATACCTGAAAATGTTCGCTCCAGCTCCCTTAGCAACCAAGCAAATCTTCTGGAGACAATAGTTGCTTTTAAATGAAGTGGTCCATCTGAAACAAACCTATACATCACTCTCATATTCAAAGTCTATTCTCTTTTGACAAGAACCTTGAACCTTCCATGTAGTTGATGTGCCACCTACTTCCTGTTGAACCAACCCACAAGATTTCAATCACGGAAGCCCCTTGGCACTCACAGCACTTCTCTCAACTGGAAAATCTCAGAAACAGCCATTGGTTAAAGCCACAATCTCCAAGGGTTGTGGTTTATACTTTGAACTGTGATCAGGGACATTGGATAACTAGACAGACTGCATGCCAAGCACAGAACAGTACCTTAGCACCTAAAAACAGACAGCAAGAGTAGACTAGCTGGTCCATCAAGAAAATCCCACTATCTTTCAACTTATGTTACCAAACAAGCACACAATCTCCTCAGAGAGAGACAAAGAATCAGAGATGAAAGTAACTTAGCTCAATTTGGAACAAATATACAGTTGATCACTCTTTGACCTCTGCAAGCAGTTGAACTCTTGGTGACCAAGTTAACAGGGTTCAAATTCCATGTGCTCCAGAGCTGTGTTATAACATCTCTGAACAGGTCGATTCGAGATTATCTATGAGGTAACATTTCTGAAAGAGTTAATAGAGAAGTTACATTAGGTCCTGGGGCTGTCACACAGATTTTGGGTCCAGGCAGAAAGTTCCATGTGAGCCTCGGCAGGGAGCAGATATATTCTGCATGACTCCCGAGAGTCCTAGTTATGATGCTTGACTAGTAATGCAGTAGTATGTATTGTTATACTGCAATAAACAATTTAAGTAAAACTAGTGCAATGATGTATTCTCTACCACTGATTAGACAGGCCCTGACTAAAGTCTCGGCAAAGGAACTACCACAAACAGCCCTGAACCGCCTATGGACAGAGGTGGCAGAAACCACGAGATGCGAGCAGTAGTAGCAGTACACAAGGTTGTGAAGGAACTTAAGCATCAGCGTGAGAATTTTACATTTGACCAACTGCAGGATCAGAGTCAATGTAGTTTAGGGAAGTCAGTGCTAATGGCAACTGGTAATGAGGAAAAAGGAATCAGATCCTTTTGATATTTACACTCTCTCCCACAGTGAGAATCTACAGCTCTGTTAAACTTGTTATTGTCTGCTAGAAACTCTGGAATTGGGAATCCATCATGAAACCTTCCTCTGAATCTCAACCTGGTGTTTGATGACCCCAACCGTGTGAGGTGACCAAATCTGTTTCCTGGACGTGACTTGTTCAGTCATGAAGATCTCTCAAAGTATGACTGAGGAACATCCGTGTGAGAACTAGCCTGGGAAGTTACACTCATTACCCATCAGGCTGGTTACCCACACACTAGAAGGTCAATGTGTGGGCTTAACATTAACAGGCCATCAATCTTTTCCCAGACAGTTCTGAGCTGATGGCTTTCTGCTGACAGGACGTGACCTTGGCTGGGAATATGTTGTTTGTTTTCTACTACAATATTGGACAGGAACAAAAGAGAGTTCACTTTGTCACAGTGGGTGCAGGGGATGTACAGTAGAAGAGGCAGGGGGTGGGGTAGAGAATGGGGAGGGGGAATGCAGTGTTGTGGGAGAGTGTACTGCACTTGAGGAAGCAGGTACAGAGTGGCGTTGAGAAATACACAGTGAGCCTGGGGAATAGACCCTAGCTAACCAGGGCTGAATTTATTCCAGGAGGTTTCATCACGTGACTTGGACCAATGACCAGCCTGTCACTGGCCACACACCTATGGCTGGTGACACACTACCTTCCTAAGCCAATTGGAAAGCACGACAACCCATTATCCAATGAGATGATGCTCGGCTTTAGACAAACAGCCCCTTTCCCCCATTGGCAATGTTTTTATATCTGGGAAACGGTGAGGGGGTGCGCTGTGTTGGGGAGGGGGAGAGTTGCAGTGTGGTGGAGGGGGAGTGGGTGAGGGTGGAAGTGCAGAGTGGGGGAGACAGAAAGGTGCGGGGGGGGGAGGTGGTGCAGTGTCAGGGAGGGAATGTGAACGGGGAGAGGGTGCGGTGTCGGGGAAGGGTTGCAGGGAGGGGGAGATGCGTGGGTGGGGGGAGGGAATGTGGGTGAGTGTGCGGGTGAGGGTGGGCTGTGGTGTGGTGTGGGGGTGTGGTGGAGGGGTGCAGTGTGGGGGAGGGGGCATGAACAGGAAGGGGATGCAATGTGGCGGTGGAGGTGAAGGGTGTGGGAGATGTGTGGGTGGGGGAGTGAGTGTGGGTGGGTGTGCGTGTAGGGGTGTTGGTGACAGTAGGGTGCAGTGCAGTGTGGGGGAGGGTGTGTGGATGGGTATGCGTGTAGGGGTGTTGGTGAGAGTGGGGTGCAGTGTGGGGGAGGGTGTGTGGAGAGGCTGTGTTGATGTGTACAATACTGTGTACTGGAGCTTCCTTTATGGTTGTTATGTTGATGAAGTTAATTCCACTTTTATTAAGGGTGGAATGGAAAGAGCTGTTTTCAGACAGTGCAGAGCAGCACATCGAAAGAAATTGAAGATATAATGATCTTCCTTGGTTAAATAATTGTTAAAATAATAAGGAGAAATTAAATTCTGAAGGAAACCTTACAATGCCTCTTGTGATTCCTGTGAAAGTGCATGTTATTTTATTTATGAATTCATTGCCACTGAGTTGAAAACCAGACCCAGCCCTGGATTGCTGTGAATTTCAAAGCTCACCATGACCTTCTGTAGGGCAACTGGGAATGAACTAAAAATGTCAGCCTTGTCAGTGACACCCAGATAAAGTGAATTGTTGGAGAAATGTCATGCTGTGTCACAGGGAATTCTCGTGGCTCAAGAGTGAGCATAGTGCCTCTTAATCTCTGAGCCAGGTGGTTGGGGTTCTAGCCCCAGTCTGGTGGGGACTGAGAGAAATAAGTGCGTGTGAAAAATAAATAAATTGCTGTGTTCCGGGCATTTGTTTCCTGATGTCATATTCCAGACCTATCCAAAAGGCAATTAAGGCTGAGATGCAGATATTTAATCAGGAAGGGAATTAAGGGTTATGGGGAAAAGGCAGGAAAGTGGAGTTGAGAGTTATCAGATTTGCCATGTTCTCATTGAATTGGGGCAGAGCAGACACAATGGGCTGAATGGTCTTCTTCTGCTGTTACATTTTATGGCTTTACATTCCCAAGCATACTCCAGCAGAAGCAGCTGGCCCTGCTCAGGATAGTATTATCGTAATGCAATGGCACAATGCCCCACAGCAGGTTTGGGTTTGTGCCAATCGGGCCACGTTTAGCAAGCTGTGGCATGGACCAGTCCAGGGGGAATCCATGTTCTTGGGCTTCATACCTGTAAACAGAGATTGCTGGAGAAACTCAGCAGGTCTGGCAACATCTGTAGAGAGAAAGAGAGAAGATCAGAGTTAATGTCTGGGGGTTTTTGATGAAAGGTGATTGATGTGCAGCACGGGTTGGAATGTAATGGTCAAGGGAATCAAGGGTTATGGGGAAAAGACAGGAAAGTGGAGTTGAAGCCACAAACCCAAGCCTGCTGTGTGGCATTGTGCATTACGATAATACCATTCTGAACAGGGCCAGCTGCTTCTGCAGGATTGGCCTTGGGAGATAGAACCAAAAACTGTAACAGCAGAAGGAGGCCATT